ATTCTCCTGGATGTTTTGAACGAGGGTACTGCGCATCTTATCAGCGACAACGTCCCAGAACGCATAGTACGCCCATTTCGAAGTGAGGGCTTATCCTAAAGGAAGTAAGGGAACGCTATTCCCCTCCGTTTTCCAGCAAATTAATCACTGATTACACATAGCATAGAAGTTGCTTTAGACTCTAGATCATTTTCTGCCATCTTATATAAAACTCTGCCTGAATAAGCAACTATTGGTTTAATTTTTACCTCATCAATTATTAAAAAAGCATTTTTTTGATGATCGTTCTTTACTTTTTTTAAATGTTTTTTGTAATACGAGATCGATGTTTAGGGCAGAAATTATAGAATGCATTTTTCGTTTACTTGGAAGCACTAAAAAATTACGAAGTTGATCATAGCTGATGTTATAAAAAGACTCAATAGCAAAGCAATAATCAGCTATAGAAAAACTTTTGTTACACAATAGTTTAAGTTACTTGTAATAAAATTCAGTTTCTTTTGCTTGATATTATCATTGATTTCAAATTTATATTCTGAAAGAATAATTGTCACCTTTTCAATAATATCATTAACATACAGATTATAATTATAAACTAAATTAATTGCTTCAAAAAACTGTGAGTAGAAGACTAAGCCATTGTTGCGATTCAATATATTGTTGGGATTCAATATATTGCTGGAATGCTGATGCTATGTTTAAAAGCAGAAAAAGGTAGTGGTGAACACAATGTACACTTATTGTAAACAATTATTGTCATTTAGCTCTCTTTAAAATCCTTCGACATAAAAATACATATGAATTTATCTTTTTGCCAAAATATTACAATATTTTCATACTTTTTATGTAATTTTTTGTCAGGACATAGTTCAGAAAACGAATTTATCATGTCTTTTTAAAAAAAAACAATAAAGTTGCTGATCCTCAGGCTTAGATTGGCGAAGCACTGACTTTGGTGTTGGTAGACAAGAAAAAGGAACATTAAAAATACTTGGTGCACATTGTCAAGTGTAGCTACCAGGAAGCTTAATCATTTCTTTATTTTCAGGCCAATTTTTTTCACATATAAAAAATTTAGATGGCTCTATAACAAAATCTTTACGCGGAGGAAGCATGTTAATCCATTTCTGTTTCTCAACTTCATCTTTAGATAATTTAAAAATACGACATTTAATAAGTTCATTTAATTTCCTTTGCAATTCACAATTTCATATTTGTTTGGCATAATGAAAGAGATTTTCAAAAAGTATTACTTTAACGTTAAAAACGGTTCCATTTTGATAGAAATAATTACCTTCGTTAGCGAAGTCAGAAAATCTAATTTGCGCGTCCTGTTATATAGTAGTCCTGGGGCTGCCAATTATCAACATATGAGATATCAAAACATATACAGCAAAGTTGGAAGGTGATCAAGAAGATTTTGAAGGATTCTGATACAAATTTAAAAAAAAATTAAACAAAATGCTTCGAAATTAACTAAGCGTGACAAACGTAACATACTACAAGTGGCTTCAAACACCGGCTGTAATGCTCGATTTATACACACTCAGCTTGATATTGATTTGTCATTACGTACAATACAAAGAACGTTACATGAAGCCAAACATCTGAGGTATTAGAAGCATATGTCAACGTCGGCCATGCAGAAACATATCATGGAGAAATGTATGGCGTATGCGAACAAACATTTGTCTTATCCACCTGATTGGGGGTCAATTATTTAGTCTTATGAGAAGAAATTTAATTTTGATGGTCCAGATGGATATAAATATTATTGGCATGACTTACGAAAAGAGTTCAAAACTTTCTTGTCTAGACAAAATGGTGGTGGTGGCGTCATGATTTGAGGTGCATTTTCCAAGGCTAGATCATCTGAACTGAAGTTCTTTAAAGGGAAACAAACAGCTGAAGACTATATTATTACACTCTCTGATTACTTAATGCTATATGGGCATGCGTTATCTTGCATAAACACAAAACATACGTTTGTCTTTTTGCAAGATAACACATTTATACATACGGTAAAGACTGTGATGGAGTTTGTAACGGAATATGACGTCCAGTTGTTTGATCATCCAGCGCTGTCACCCGACTTAAATCCAATTGAAAACATTTGGGGTTACTTGTCTCGTCACGTGTATAAAAATGAAAAACAATACAGTAACCTAAATGGAATGGAACAAACCCCCCAATCTTTGCTCCAAATGTTCATTTCCTCCTTGCCTAAGCGTTGCAATTATGAAGAAAGATAAGAATATTGACTATTTGTACGTTTCTACGTCCTAGTAATCTCTAGAGCCTGCTGAAATGGTGTGTGTGCTTTTGGTTTTGCACATAATGTATTTTTAATTTTATTCTTTTTTTGTTTTTTACATGTTTTCAACAAAAACAAATACAATATTGTCCTTTATTTGTATTTTATTTCTTGAGTTAAATTATGTTAAATATGTATTAATTATTGTATTAAATTTAATACGTTCATACATCACGGTATTTCGTAACGTCAAATAGCTAAAAGATTAGATTGTGACCAATCATATATATCTAAAAATCTTTAAAACAAGATGAATATTAGATGTTACAAAAAGAATAAGATTCCACATCGAAGCGAAAGCCAACTAGCTTGAATCAAACCTTTGTGTCGGCATATATATCGCAATTTTAGAAATTTTGATTTTGTCTAGAATGACGAATCATATTTCACATATGCGAATACAACATTAACTGGCAAGATGGCTTCTATTCTTGCGACGTATCATCTACAACTAGCGACGTCAAATTCAAAAGAAAAAAGAAATACGAGGAAAAGGTGCTAGTCTCTTTGATTATATCGCCCAAAGGGACTTCAAAACCAATGTTTTTTGAAGTGGCCAGGCAATCAGCAAACAAGATTACATCGGACGTCTCCGCAAGCGGTTAATACCCTTCATTGATGAACATTATTAAAATGAAGAGTACTTGTTCTGGTCAGATTTAGCTAGCTCGCACTATGTAAATGATGTGGTTTCTTTTCTCGATGCCAATAACATCGAATACCTGCCAAAGGTAAAAAATCCACCCAATGTACGAGATGCTCGACCAATTGAGGACTTTTGGGGTCAGTTGAAACGCTTAGTCTACGATGATAATTGGCAAGCAACAAGCATTCCTTAACTCAAACGGCGTATCGTGAATTGTCTTAACAAAATGGATCCGGAAGTGGCAAAATGTTATGTCTCAATGACTTCAGTTCGTCTAGGTCGATTTGCTTTTAATGATGTTGTTGGAAACCAACAAATATATTTTTTTAAATATCATATAATTGTTTATAAATTTATTTTAAATTAAATTTGATAGCTATGTAACTATGGCTGTAATAACAATTTTAAAGTTCTCTCATCTTTTAGTCATCAGGTGTTATTGTAAATTAAAGTAAACTAAAGCCATGTTTGCTTTAAATGTTATTGTAAAGGGAGTCTATGAAAAAATTGTGGTGACACCAGTCATCCGTATCTTCTTTGAACCCCTGTCTGTTTTATATATATTCTTTGTGTATCGTTAAAGTTTTTTTGTAATTTTATAGTTTTATTTTTATATGAACAACAAAATATATTAAAAAAAAAAAAAAAAAAAAACTTATGAATATATTCTTATAAAGTTTTAATGTTTTCTGCCAACAAGTAAGCGCGCGCAAGTTGTTTACAAAAATATGTGAAGTTGCACGGCAAGTCATCTATATAGTTTTAAATAAACAATAATATTTTTATTTTAGTGATAGTTGTTTACCAAACTCGACTTAGCAAACTCAAATTCTAGATTGTTAAGTGTCTTAGATTTACTTAATAATGTACTAAGACATTTAACTTAAAGATAAAGGGTACAAAAAGGCATCGATTAATTATCCGGAATCCCTCTCCGCTTCTCCCCTACGATGCCAAACATCAATCCGCTACTGCATCGTATCCCAGTCGCAATGATTTTGTAATAATAGTATTTTGCCGAAAGCTTTGTGTACTGACAGACTGCCTCTCTAAACGAAAACTCTCAGCCGATTTGTAAGCTCTACTGCTCCTATCCCTAAATCCGTCGATGTATGTTCACTCCGCTCCGCTTATCCCTGAATCTGTCGTTATAGGTGCACTCACTACCCTTATCCCTTAATGATTAAATGTTCGGTAAATTGTTTTAGTCGTCAAAATCATTTATCGAAACTGTAACGTTTATGTTTTTTTTAATTTTATTAAATCGGTAACATAACGCGGGGTTGGTAAAACTTCCCTTTGACCTCTCACCACATAAATTGTATTCAAGAGTCTGCACAGCAGGCTAGATGTGCAACAAAAACTAAAAATAAAAGTTGTCACTATATTAGTGACTTATTTTTATACTGTAAACTAAACAAGCATACAAACAACATGAATTAGTTATTTTGTTTTTTTGCTCAATAGTATATCATTAAAATCGTTTGAAAAAGCTGTATTGATAAAATATAATTACAAAAATTTCGCCTGAAAATAACGATATTTTTAATTAAGTTACTCAGTTTAATTTTTTTTTTTTTTGCTTTTAAATAAATCTTATATTGTTAAAATAGGAACTAATTTTTTAGTTGCATTAAGTTCATTTCATTTTGAAGCAATATGTATATTGAATAATAAGCAAATTAAGTTTTATACATATTTTCAGTTAGCATGTATTTAAATTTAAAGATAAAATATGTATCTCTTCTTTTAAGATAATTATGTTTTCTTGGCCAAACATGGTCTAAGTTATGATTACCTGTACGACTTCAAATAAACTTCAGATAACACTTCAGATTTTCATACTGAAAATCTGAGGTGTTTAGATTGTTGATGGGTTCGATTAGTTGCAGATTTTTGCTGACAAGATTGTTTTTTATCTTAGAAGTTTATAGTTTTGCATTAATTTTACAGTTTTGATTGTTTTTTTGTTTGTTTCCAAATGTGTACATTGCTATATCTACTCATTGTTGTTGTTTTTTTTAAAAAAAATTAATTTACTCTTATTCTTTTTTTTGTTTTAGACGTTATGATATGCTTAGAATCACAAGGATAAAATGATTACAAATGAAACTCAAATATTATTTTTCCAGACACCTGGTTCTCTTATTTTATCAGGCTTGTTTTCTTGGATTTCAATTATTATTTCATGTCACCAGGTAAATTTTTTAAAATGTAAAATTCAACTATTAATAAAAATATTTTTGTTATTTATTTTATAGGTATTGTTTTACTATTGTTATTTATTTATTAAGTTTATTTATTTATCAATATTATATATTCTGATCAAGTATCAGGCTAAGCACAGAATGTTTATTATTCAAAAATTAGTTTATGAAAAATTTAAATCAATTAGTTCTGGCTCATTGATTAAAAATAGTTAATCAGTAATAATATTTCCAGTCAACTGTTACAGGCTCTGTCAGGGTTTTTACCCTTTATTCTCTGACTGATTTTGATGTAGAAACTGAAAGTTGATTGATAATGGTCTAATTTTAGATTTAAAATATAAAAAAAAGTTTTAAAACTTTACTGTATTTGCTTTGGTTACTGTGGTTTTTAGTTGTTTTGGTTATTTGGTTTTTATGTTATTTTTTAACAAAAAATTAATAAATAATTAAGATTTTACATATATTGATTGGCTAAAAATAGATTTAGTGAAGTTTGCATCCACTAATTTATTTAGGGACAAGCACAGTTAAATATACAAACATAAACTAATGGTTTTTGTAGTAGCAAATTATTTTTATGAAATTAACTAATTAATAGTGGCATACCTTAGGGTTCACAATCCTGGAGGTCTTTTCCAATCTTTAAATTTTCCTGATTAAAAATTATTTATTCCTAAACAGCTATATTATAATATCTACATAATATCAGGGCCTTCGAAAGGGAGGGGTAAAGAAGGCAAATTTATCCAGGCGCCAAGCTTGAAGGGGCGGCAGACAATCCATTGTTGTTTGTTTTTTTTACCAACAAATAAAAAACTAGGTGGTTTTAACCAAAGTGCAGCTGTCAAAGAAATCCAGGATAGTATCTACTTCACTATCATAGTCAATGGTACCCCCAATTTATCTCACACTGAGCAAATATCATTTTTTATTTGTTTTGCCCTCTATGAAAAAGAAAAACTAATCGCTGACAAATCAAAGATCAATTCTTGTGTGTTAAAGCTTTCGAAATGAAAAAAGAAGCTTATATAGCTAAGCTTATCACTGATGTGATTTGAAACCTAGGTATGAACATTCATAACTGCCATGATCAGGAACACGGTAATGAATCTGATATGTCAGGTACTTATAAGGAGCTCAAGCCTTAATAAAGTAAATTTATTCGGAAGCTCTGTGCATTCCCATTAATGCTCACAGTCTCAATTTGGCTCACAGTTGAATCAGCCATTAAGATCAAAGTATTCTTTGAAAATGTTGAATCTTGTTACATATTTTTTGTGCAAGTCTTGCTTAATGAAATATTTTTACTGAAGTGAGAGGAATTTCATTGCATAAACTATCTATGACAAGATGGAGCTCTTGTACCAACTTGATAAAACCACTTGCCAAGAGAATCTGACCAGTGAGCAGCTCAGCCAAGCAAGAGCTTTAAAAAAATGATAATCATCTTTTGATTTTGTATTACTAGTTAGCATTTGGTACAAATCCCTTACTGCTGTTAACAATGTCAGTTATCTTATAATCTGAAGCAATTACCAATAATCACAAGCTACATTTGATTGAATGGCTGCTGGAAGATCTTAAACGGATTAGGGGCTCTTGGTTGCAAACACAGCCCATTTCCACGACAGCCAAACAAAAGAATTTAAAGTGACCGTTTTAATGTTGATTTAGTCTAATCCAGCAGATTGGTTCAAAATTTAAGGCAAGCAAGATAGTTGACAATATGTTTTCATTCGTCAAGTTGAATAATGATCTTTCCGTTTAAAATAAAGCTTGAGAACTTGCACAGTTTAATCCGAGAGTTGTGAACAAAGAGAATCTCAATGAAAAAGTTTGCTGCTTTAACAATGTCAACAAAACAATTTTTAAGCAAGGAAATCAAATGCAGTTACTCAATCAAATCTTTAAGAAAAATGTCTTGAATGCTTTTTTCCATACATTTGTGTCATGCTCTGGATTTTCAATACTATTCTTGAGTCAGTTGTTGAGGGTGAACGATTATTTAGTAAAGTAAAAATTTTAAAATTCTTTCTTTGTTTGACCAAGGGACAGGATCACATTACTGATATTTGATTATTTGGATTAAAGATTTGGTTAAAAAGGTGAGCTATGACAATGTCATTAATATTTTGGGCAGTCAGAAAAGTTCGAAAAATTCTGTTTTAAGCGGCGCCTTATTAAGTTTTCTTGAAAATTTTGTTGATTGATTTTTTGTTTATTAGTTTTAAAACTAATTTTTTTATTCAAATGTCAGTTTTGATTAATGTTTCTCAATCCAGAGATTTAATAGTAAAGCAATGTTTTTCAATTGAGAAAAGAGTAAATAGAAAGTGCAAAATGCTGATTCAGAAATAAATTGCTGCGTTCACAAAGCTTTAAATTTTGCAATTTCTTGGTTTGAAATAAGGGCGCTGTTCTCAATTCTTTACTTGGGTACCATTGACACTTTTGAAGGCCCTGCATAATATTAACTAGAATTGAAAAAATGCATTTTGATCAAAATTATATTTTTTTAATCAGGTAATTTACATTGCTTGAAAGTAAACATGTGAACTTAACATGTTAATTAAGGTTAAGAAAATAATGTTAGGAATAAGGAAATATATTATGTTTTATATATTTTGAAATGTTAAGTTTTATTGCCCAAACAGTTTTTTTTCCTTTAAATTCAACATGGCTGCAAGCAACCACTATTAGAGTTGGAAGTTACTGGAAGAGGAAAGATGAAGTTTATAGAGCAAGATAACAGATGACTTAAAAGGTTGCAAAATATATGAATTGGGAAAACAAGATAAAGGAAGTGAATTCCAAAAAACTGATGTATGAGGAAAAAAACTGTTCATTTAGAACAACTTTTATACTATGATTGGTAAGGTAGAATTCAATAATCTTAAAGATGTTACCTGATACACTGTAAGAAGAAAGCTTATGGAAAAGACCAGCATGCCAAACTTTATCAAAAACTTTTGAAATGTCGAGAGAGATAGCCTTACCCTTTCTAAAACCTATCAGTTATTACAGTTGACAAATCAGCAGTAGAACCAGAAGATCGAAGTCCATATTGATGATCAGAATGTGAGTTATTAGATGAGACATTAAGTGTTTGTTAATTCAAACTCAAACATTAAGTGTTTGTTAATTCAAACTCAAACATTAAGTGTTTGTTAATTCAGACTCAAAGTCCTTGCTCTCCAGAATTTTGGAAAATAGGCATAAGAGATACCGCTTTCCAGAAGTATGGAAAACAAAACTCAAATAAGCACTTGTTAAATAGTTTTGAAAGCATACAACTGTCATTAGGGCCCAAAAATTTTAAAATTTTAAATTACTACTAGGTTTTGCTAAAAAAAAAAAGAAAAAAAGAAAGTTTTTTAAACTTGCAAAAGGTTCCCCTATTTTTGTTGTCGTGTCTAGGGCCTAACCCCAATATGGGTTTGGGAAGGCTCTAGACACAACACTTCTTGCAGTCCAATATTAAATATAATTGTTTTCCAAATTCAGCCTTTATATGTTTTTTATAACCTTGTTCTTGATAAGTGATCAACTAAATAATGTATTAGTTTTGTCTAACTTTTTAAAGACTGATAAGCATGAACTTTAGTTCAATTTGAAGTCTTGCATTTTCATAATTGTAGTATTTCATAACACTAGTTTCATGGTCATTATAGCCACAATGTCTTTGTGTAAATTAAAACTATGTTCTTTAAGTTTTTTTATAATAGTTCAATGCTTTTCAGCATTGAATATGATATTTGCTCTTAACCTAAACTCCACAGAGAATTTGAGATAATGAGTGTCAAATTTTGAATAATTTAACTTGCATAAGTTTTTCAAATGTATTTATGTGAATAACTTTTTACAAACAACATAAACTTATATTTTATAACAAATTTTAATAATATAAATCTGTACCTTGGAGGTATAGGATGTTATCTCCATTTTGTCAATTTTACAGTACATACAACATGTCCAGATTATGTCGTATACCTCTAAATGGAAGTGGGCATAGTGTTATATTCTTTATGGCTACTATTGATGTTACGCTGATTTGGAAACAATGTTGTATACCCTAAATAGAAGATTTTAATACACAACTTTGGTATTAATAATGTCATTTTGAGGATAAATGATGATGATATCCTACTTCCAAGGTACAGAAATATTACCTGTGTTACTTGATATAAAGTGTGGGTACTGCAAGTACAGCAAATATGGGGAAAATTTTATTTTTATTTATTCCTGTTGATAATCTCATTTTTAAAAAAGATTGTGTATTACACTTTTATATTGTATATGGGTCAAATTGTTATATTTCAACCAATTTGAAGAAAACTTTTACTATCACCATCAAGGTCACTGTCTCTGATTTTCCTGATTTTTACATATTGTTATGTGCATTATGTAGATAGGTTAAATTTGAAATTTCAGACTTCCAAGTACAATGGTTCAAAAATTATAGCCTTAAAAACATGACACAGTGGCCCCTCTCAATTTATAAATAGTCAAAACAGACTACTTTAGAGCTGTATAACTTTTTTCTCACTTTCAACAAGTGTCTCATTTTTTCTAGAACTATTTACTAGATAGTTCTCTCCTTAAAAAAGTAGTTTTATTAACTTTTATTAAATTAGAGAAAAATACCACATACAGACCATTAATAACCTTTAAAAACAGAATTTAAAAAAATAACGCTATATCTAAATTAATTATTAACGCTATATCTAAATTAAAAATTTTTTATTTTTTTCTATTCATGTCTATATATTTTATTTTTTCTATTAATGTCTATTTTTTTTTTATTTCATTAATGTCTCTTTATTATCAACAGAAGCAATAAATGTGGTAGGTTAACTCAATTTATTGGAGTGTTAAACAAAAATAATAAAATCTAGAGTACTTGTATAATACAAATTTAAAATATGATAATTAAGCACATGAATACTTTTATACACAAAGTAGCTGATCAATAACATGTTGAAATTATGTAAATTAAATTGATTAATAACACTTTGAATTAATCTGGTAAGACTATTTTAGCTTACAATATCTTCAAAAATCTACCATAAAAACATTTAAATATATAAATATAAATATAAAGCTTCAAATAATGTGCAATGGTCCATGGGACTATTAAAAGAACGCAATGGTTAATAAATGCATCCAACAAATAACTCTTGATTAGCAGCTTTTTAAATTCATTGTTAATGTATGAATATTTTTATATTCACATGTAAGATGAAACTATAAAATCTTTTTACAATTGATAATTTTCAACATTTAATCATTTAGATAGCTCTCCATGCCAAACATTATACAAATCCAGATCAACAGACCTACATTATAAGAATTCTGCTCATTGTACCAATATATTCTCTTGATTCTTGGTTTAGTCTTGTATTCTTTCAGAAGAATTATTATATTTACTTTGATACAATTCGAGACTGTTATGAAGGTAAGTTTTATAAAATTACAAAATTTTAAAACACAAATTAGCAGAAAGTTATTTATTTTCCTCTGTATTAAATTAAAGTTATGTTACTTATTGTAACGTAAACCAGATTCATTACACTTAATTTTAAAAAAAAAAAAAAAAAGATCCTTATCTCTCAGCGGGCAAAAAAAATTACTTAGTCCTTGTAACTTATCTCTTTAATCTTACTTAAAAATATCTTATCTCTTTAATCTCTTTAATTTTCATTAGACTTACAGTCTGATCTGTTTTACTCTTTTATTAGTTTTAATTACTTGAAAAGATGTAAAAAAATTTCAATTCTGATCTCTTTTTTCATTCTGAACACCATTCTGATCACTCCTTGCAGAATCCTATTGCTCCTATATTATGTTTAAAAAAAATATTTTTTAATTTGATTTAGAATTTTTTTAATATACTATTTTTTCTATTGATTGATTGAGAGCTAAGGAGATAAATTAGATATATATTTTATAAATTAGTTATATGTTTATAATTTAAAAGTAACTTTTTAAAGAGTAAGACTTTAAAAGTATTGTAGGATGTTTCTGGTATAAAGCTGGTTGGCATATGAAGCTTATTTATAGGATCTTAGCAAATAAAAAGATTGTTTGGTATTGGTTTAAAAATAGAAGTTTTACTTTTATCACAATTTTCTTTTTTTTTTCTGGACATTATTTCTGTATGAATGATTATATTTATAATGGTGATATTATTTCTTCAAGATCTTTCATTGAAATACTTAATATAAGTTATAGAAAAATTAAAGCTGTATATATACAATCTGTTGCTTAATAATCATCTGTTAAAGCAGCCTCTCTTTATTGTATTTGCCATTTCCTTATTCTCTGCCTCTTATTTGTCCCTGTATTCTCTTATTTGTCCCTGTATGAATACTGTTGTCATATTTAAGCTGGTTCTTCTAGACAAGGTCTATAGCCACAGCTGATTTTTTTTACTGTTATTTCTAAATTTGTAATTGCTGTTAAAAATCTATATTTTAACAGTACCATAAGTATTTTTAAATGTTTGCATGTGATCAAAGACTTTACTAAACTTGGTCTGTACTATAAAGCCACTTGTAACTGCTGTACTTTATGGTTGATCTAAACTATATATGTTTTAAGTTCGAATTTGCACATCCTGTTAGCATGTTAAAAAATTATAAGCAAAATTAAGAATAAACAAAAGGTTTTAGAAGCTTTTTTTTAATCCCTATATCTGTTGGTTCTTCCTAATATGTTAGCTTAAGTTAAGTCAAACCTTGGGCTAAAACCTAGAAGTTGAATATATTTTTTTTATAGGTTTTAGTGTTTAAAGTAATCCATTATAAGAACTAGTTGGTTATAGTCATATTAAAACCTTATACTAGTGTACTAAAACCTTATACTAGAGTATTAAAACCAGTGTTGAAAGGAAAAAAAATTTAAAAAAAAAAAAAATCCATGGGTTTTTTAAACTTTTTTTAAACACTTTTTTTTAAAATAAGCCATGTTTAATCAACTTATTCAATTAAAAAAAGTGCATTAGACATTTCACTTCAAGTAAATTATATCTTCTATCTATTGGTCCTACATCTATTGGTTTATGAGTTATATCAGTATTACTGATGTAATTCATCAACCATTACATCATTATTTAATGTATTGATTTAAAAATAGAAGTTTTACTCTATGTCTATATATACACACATGGCAAGAACAAAAGAGTTCAGGAGCTACACATAGCGCGTCTAAAATAAACCTAATGGTCTATGGGGGCTATCCGCCTAGATTTGCGCAGGTTTTTTTTTTAGTAATTTAAATTAATATTTTTTGATTTATGATATTTCCACTGAATTTTTATTTTGTTCCTTCATCATTCAGGAATAGTATTTGTTTTTTCAGTGATAAAAAGGCAGAAAAACAGTCATTTTATAAAAATGTTTTTATTTTATCCTAATGTTATCTTATCCTTATATTATTTATTTTTATTTAATAATTTGGTTATTAAACAAATATGTGAAATTATAAAAATGTTATAACATAATCAATTGTTTTAATAAAACAACAATATAAATAATTCTACGTATTATTATAAAGTTTGTTCATTTTTCTTCTTTGTGAATAAAAATGTTATAGTGCTCATCAAATATTTTGATAAGCACTATAACAACAAGAGGGAGAATGACAAATAGTTAAAAATAAAATTATATTATGTACTAAATAAAAAACATCAACATATTTAATATTTTTTTACCAAAATATTAAATATGTTGATGTTTGCCCATGTAAACTGGTTTTTGCAGGTAAGAAGATGGGCACAGGCTATAGCTCACCATTTCTACTGAAGTCTGTATATATATGCATATATATATATATATATATATATATATATATATATATATATATATATATATATATATATATATATATTTATATATATGCATATATATATATGCATATATATATGCATATATATATGCATATATATATATATATATATGTATGTATGTACGTATGTATGTATGTATGTATGTATGTATGTATGTATGTATGTATGTATGTATGTATGTATGTATGTATGTATGTATGTATGTATGTATGTATGTGAATGTATGTATGTGAATGTATGTATGTGAATGTATGTATGTGAATGTATATATATTATTTTGGTTTAAATTGATATTTTTTAAATGGTTTAAACCTATCAACCCTGATGAAAACCTTTCACTTATGTATTAAAACCTTATACCAGTATATTAAAACCTTACACTTGTGTACTGATACTTAGTTTAAATCAGTTAGAACTATTGTTGCTAATGTACAATTTGTGGGAAATGCTTGAAATATTTTAAATGTTTCATTTTACTAAAACATTTGTGCGTTAAGAACACTGTTAATAAAAAAAATTTTGTTTTTGTTCAAACAGATAAGAATTTTATAGATTTTGTAAAAATTAAAACATTACTTTGCTACAAGTTGGGAATATGAGGTAGGGTGCATCACAAAACAACAATTTAACAATTTTGATTTTGTCTGACACCTTATTGTGTTGTGTAGATTAAAAAAACACTGTATTTCAAATATTTTGGTACTAAAAATATTTTTAGAGGTCCCACAACACCCTTGAATATTTAATGTATCCCTAATATTTTCAAAAAAATAGTTTTTTTAAAGTAGGTCATGTTTGGTCTTAAATGAAGCAAAATTTTATAAAAAAATTTAAAATAATAAGTATTTTATAAAAAAAAATGTTTCTTCAGATTTTTCTGCCATATGATATGACAAATAAGAAAAAAAAAGCAATTTTTTTTTATATTTTGTCAGAAATATCAAAAGTAATGTTTTTTTTATAAAATACTTATTATTTTAAAATTTTTTATAAAATTTCGCTTCATTTAAGACCAAACATGACCTACTTTAAAAAAACTATTTTTTTGAAAATATTAGGGATACATTAAATATTCAAGGGTGTTGTGGGACCTCTAAAAATATTTTTAGTACCAAAATATTTGAAATACAGTGTTTTTTTAATCTACACAACACAATAAGGTGTCAGACAAAATCAAAATTGTTAAATTGTTGTTTTGTGATGCACCCTAATATGAGGTTAAATTTTCATTTTGTTTATTGTTAAACTCTGTTAACATTTTTTTTACCCATAAATTTTTACTTATTTGCAGTTACTTTAAGTATTAATTTAATTTTTTTGTTTATAGCATTTGTCATCTACAACTTCCTATGTTTATGCTTTGAGTATTTGGGTGGGGAAATGGCAATTTTATCTGAAATTCGTGGTCGACCATTAAAGTATCTTTTTTTTTTCAATTTATATTTGAATTATATATTTCTGAGATTTTTGTATTTTAGAGGCAACAGAATAGCAGGGATCGTTCCCAGTAATTTTTTCTGGAATCCCAGGTTTTCAATTATGCATCTTTTAACGTTCCCACCAAAGTTTTAATTTTTTTTTTTGAACCATTAGAAGTATCACTTTAAAGTATAGTTAAATTAATACATAAAAAATCTTAAAACTTCAAAGGTTTCCAGTTGTCAAAATCTCAAAAAAAAATAACAAAGCACATTGCAAACATTGTCCAAAATTATTAAATGCAAAGGTGCTTAATATTTAATTTAATATTTAAAATATTTGGAATAAAAAATGTTGTATTAAATGAAAAATAGATTCTATGATAAATTTCATTATGAGAACGGTTAGCTTATTTTTGCTGCTAATGATGAATTTTTTATATATTAGTGATGTACCGATGGCAAATGCCGATTGTGGCTAATAATAGGTTTAATATATTCATTTAAGGGTATTATAATAATATTAGGCTTGGTCGGGAAGCGGGAGCGATCGCTCTCGAATACTGACCACGGAAATTATATTTAGTTGCGTAAAACTAGCCAGGTTTTTTAGTCGTTTTGAGAACATTTAAGTTTATTTATGAAACAAAAAATTTTTGTTTTACGGACATACATGGAAACATAAAAAACTTGAATGTTCTCAAAACATCATTGTGCAAAAGAATAAAAAGAATATTTGCGAGCATTAAAAACCCGCCAAATTAACGAACAAACTAATTCTATTGGTTCAAAAAATACGCTGATTAAGCGAAATAAAGTTCTAGAGTATTCTGTTAAAATGTTTCAGAAATTGTATTATACACGATTTGTTACGTTTTGAGATTTCTAGAATTGTTTTAAGAATATATATTTGTTTACAAAAATAAATGTTTTAAATTTATATTAATTAAATTGTTAAAATTTCAAAAGTTTATTATAAATTATAGATTTTATTAGTATATTCTTATTTTTTATTTAAAAAGTATGTAATCTTTATGTAAATGTAATTTTGTGTATCTGTTTTTTATCGTAATGTATCTTTTAAAGCAATTTTTATGATTTAAATAAAGACTTACAAAAATAATTGCGTTTTTAATGAAGTTATAATCGTTAAAGTTAATAAAACTAATTATGTAACAAACATATAAAAAGTTTCTAGTTACTAAACACAAACAACGCATACAAAGTAACTCGCGGATAAACAAGCATCGCGCCTGAGGTCACGACAGAACACAAATATATATAGCAAATAATTAAATAAAAAAAAAGTTTCTAGATATTGGTTTACTAACTCTAATTATTTTCGCTTAAATTGCCATTCTTAAAACTCGTTTTACTTTTTTCTGCTTTAAATACTAATTAAAATTAAAAAGCCCACTCACTAAACATTATTAGCGATATTGTGAAGCAGATTCGCTTCCTGGTCATTAAGTATTTTTAACCTTTTTAGTTGATATCTATCTTGATAATTTAATTTCTATAGTAATTCAATGATTTAATTATTTCATTTGTTTATCTTGCTAAGAAGAATCGCTTCAAATATGTTAAACTTTTCAAACTACGCGAAACATAAAATAGGTATTAAAAAGATTAACTTTTTTATTTATTAAATAATTTAGCTCAAGTAAAACTAAAACTTGCAAACTTAGTAAAATAAAGGATATTTGTTTCTTTTTTAAACAATCGTAAGTTGTTACTTTATATAAAAAACATCGCTTAATTTTATAAAAAAATTATAAAAGAGCGATGTTTCGAAAATATTTGTTTTAAATGTAATTTATTTAGCTTTAAGTTTTTTCGCGTTTAAAGATATTTTATTTGCCTATTTTTTTTTTTTTTTTTTTTTTTTTTTTTGTAATTGTCTCTCATCGGTCCAATTAATTGTTTTTTTTTTATCCGTTTTTTTTTTTTTGCTTTTAAAAATGTTCTCAAAACGACTAAAAAATCTTGCCAGCTTTTCGAGATCTTGGTCAGCAATCGAGAGCAATCGCTCCCGGTTCCCGACCAAGCCTGTAATATCAAGGATTTAAATTACATAATTAACATGTACCTATTTATCAGAAGTGATTTGACTTATTAGCCTATGCTATTGGTAACCAGCAACCAATTAATCAGCTTAATCATTGGCCAATTAATAAGCCGATAGCATTGGTTGGTTAATCAACTTTGACTGATGCATTGGCATTGGCTAATAACCCAAACCAAACTGGTGCATAAGCACACCTTATATATGCAAATTGCATACCTAATATTGAGATATCACTTTTTATATATATATATATATATATATATATATATATATATATATATATATATATATATATATATATATATATATATATATATATATATATATATATATATCATTAGCCTTAATCAGCGTTTGCCAATGGTACATCACTACTATATATGCAATAGCTGAGTAAGATTAAATTTGTGAGCTGCTTCCTAATAAAGGCAACATTCTACCAAAATCTAAATCAGATGTAATTAATCTGATCTGTAAATATTTTGTGGAAAAATTAAAGAATTTAGAATAGAAAATAAAAAAAAAGGAGTGAAAAAAATGATAATTAAACAGTGCAAGGTCTGGAGAATATGGTGGATGTTGGAGGACCTCCCATTTGACCTGGAGTGCGGCTTTGATGACTTGTGCTTCATGGGGCCTGGGGTTGTTGTGAAGTAGTATGGTTTGGCCTTGTCAATAGGGTCTTTTCAATCGCATAGCCTCTTTCAGTCAGTGTAACTGGGCTATGTAGAGCTCCTTGGTGACCGTAAGATTTCTTCTAAGCATTTCCCAATACACCTCCCAGTCCCACCAAACACAGATCATAGTTTTCTTTGGATGGAGGTCAGACTTGACCTTTCAACTTTAACGTATCTCCTGGAGTGACCTACTCCTTTCATATTTATGTATTATGCACCATCTCCTGTGACGATTTGATACAAAAAAAATTTTTATGACCGCATGTTACTCGATGGCAGGTCTATTTTCTTTATTATTTTTGTTAAGCTCTTAAGGGACCCAGACTCCTATTTTTTTGGCAAATCTCTTTGAATGAAGATGATTGAGAATTAGTTTATGATCACAGTTCATTTTTTCAGCTAATTCACAATTTGTTTGGCAACTGTTCTCCTTCAAAGTGCTTTGAGACTTTCTCAAGTTGTCCACATCAAAATTGTCATTTTTAAACTTTGTAAATCATTTTCCTGCTGTAGACTCGCCTATGATATCTTCTTCATATCTGCTGCAAATATTCCAGGCTGCTTCAGCAGCTTTGGCCTTGATGAAAAGCGAAGAAGAGCAGGTGTTGAAAATTTTGATTTTTACCTCCTGGATATTCTATTTCTAACCCTAATAAGTAATTAGAAATTAAACTACTCAAAAAGACGATTAAAAGAGTTTCATTGAGCAGAAAGAGCTCTATCGAATGAATATTAGACACTTTTTCAAAGAGCAAAAAAATTGTTGTTAAAGAAAGAAATTATGAAAACGCTACAAACTTATTCCCTAACCCAATAATTTTCCCAGGATCACGGCAACACTATAAATAATACCTACTATCCCAGGAAAGTAAAAACTCATTTTTGCTTTTTCTTATTTTTTTATTGATTGTTAATTTATTTTCTAGAACTTCAATTATTTGTAATTTAGAACATCTTATTTGATGTGCACATGTTGTTTATCTGGTAAAGTATTGAACATTGAGTTTCTTAGATTTTGTAAAAAGGTACTTTAATCTCATTTTTTTTATTGATTGATATTGTTTCAAAAACCTATATATATATATATATATATATATATATATATATATATATATATATATATATATATATATATATATATATATATATATATATATATATATATATATATATATATATATATATATATATATATATATATATATATATATATATATATTTATATATATATATATATATATATATTTATATATATATATATATATTTATATATATATATATATATATATATATATATATATATATATATATATATATATATAGATATATATATATATATATATATATATATATATATATATATATATATATATATATATATATATATATATATATATATATATATATATATATATATATATATATATATATATATATAGGGTCATTCCATGTAAAACTGGGACAGTCATTTCAGTCACCCCTTGGATTTTCTTAAAATTTTTACCAGTGGTAACTATTAAGGAAACATGAAAAAATGCAAAATTTGAGCTCCCAAATCCAAACGGTTCAAAAGTTATGATGTTTTGAAATTTAGCCTAAAACGTTCCTTTTTTTAGGAAGTCCGCCATTATGGATTTTGTAGTTGTACTTTTAATTGAATAATTTAAGATCTAGTGGAAGAATGTGGCTGAAAATCAGTACCTGACCATTTTTGAGGGTGCTGAATTCAAAAATGTAGATAAAATAGTGAAATTTAAATTTTTTGATAGTTATTTTTTCATTTTAAAATGGCCAGTCAAATTTTTTGTTTTGTAACCATGGGTTGCGCTTTCATTAATTCCCGAAGTTGCCCAAGTCTCATGGATTCGATTTTTTTTTCAAATGAAGTAGGTGATCCTAGGCTATCTTTATAAAAAAAATGGTTTTGGGTTCTTAAAGCATAGAAAAGTTATTTCATTTTGAAATTTAGACAAAAAATTTCTTTATTTGGCATCTATTCTCTATCATAGATTTTATAGCGATACTTGTTGTGTGAATAATTTAAGATCTAGTAGAGAAATATGACTACAAATTGGTATCTGACCATTTTTAAAATTAACCCAATTCTTAATATTTAAAAATAATTTTTGAATTTTATTATGTCAACAGTCCTTTTTTTTTCTTTTAACCATAGTTTGCATTTCACTGATTTCTGGAGTTGCCTTACTCTCATTGTGAAATAAGAGATCTTACTCTCATTGTGAAATAAGAGATCTTACTCTCATTGTGAAATAAGAGATCTTACTCTCATTGTGAAGAGGTTTTATAAAAGTTTAGGTGAAAGTAAATAAAAAATTATATTACTTTGCATAACTTGCATATTTATCTATTTTTTCAAAAGTATACATAGAAATATAATTTACTATACAACACATTGAACAATTTTTTTTTATTATTATTCTAATAGTTAGATATTATTTCAAAATCTTGGTTGCATGAATCAAATTTAAGGTTACAAGCTCAAATGTTTTGTTAAAAAATAGGAAACTAAAATGCAAACTTTTTTGAAAAATATTACAAACCTGCTTTATTGAAAAAAGCTCAAAAATAAAAATGAAAAGGAATAACCAAATATTACTAAAATTTAAGTTTATATCATTTAAATAATGAAAGTAAAATATTAAATAACTTTCACTGAAAAGATAAAACTTGTTCAAATAAATTTTCATCTTCTTTTGAGATTTGGTACTGACGCCCAGAAGATGTTGAAGGTGTTTTAACAAGACAAATAACATTCATTCTTGGTACCCAGCAATTATCATCCCGATTTGGCCAGTGGTATGACCGACTTGGGTAATGTGGATGCATAAATTTTACCATAAAATCATCATTCTCTTTATCAACTTCATAAACCATACCAAGCCAGTAAAAATCGTCATATTTGCAAAATAGATATTGTGACATCAAAACATTGTCAATTTTAATAATTTCATATTTTTGTTTTTTGAGGAAGTCAAATGTTAGAGAAAAATGATCATCATCGGATACCCTTTTCATTTTTATAATTGAATGAGAAGATGGTATAAATGATGGAAACTTCTTGTCCCAGGAATAGTGGTTGCTATTAAAAGTCTATCTGTAAGTTTGTTTATTACTAGCTCCATTTCTTCAGCAGAGACATACACAAACGTAATCCCACTGATTTACTTTTTACAGTATTCAAACATTGCTTGAGAAGACAGTATATGACCTGTGGTTGGACTCTGCAAGCTAGCTGTTGCAACAAGCCTTTTAACAGTGCCACCTATTCCATCACATGGAGATTTACCATGGCTTGTTGCAAAGAAATTCCAGATGCAACAAACAGAAAAATCTTGAGCGTGGTGACATAAATTGTAAAAATGTTTGCAGTTTTTATACTGCCCTGGACAGCCATCAGAAAAATAATGAATTTTTTTAATTGTGGGACAAAGATGAGTTTTAATATGATTAATGGTTTTATGCATAACCTCATAGATAAATCCAACATCATGATTTAAATCATCTGAAATTACACACAAAGAAGATATTTCCAATTTCACTTTATTGTAGTAGATGACAACTGGATGAAGGGAACATTGACTCTTGCTCCAATGGTAACTCTGAATCTCGTCTTGTACTACAAACATGTAATTCTCTGCAAAATCTGCCAGTACAATAGCCTCATCAATACTAATTGTTTCTTTGAGATGCTTTAAATAGCTAGATTGTGATTTTGCTATAAATGAATGAGAAGTGATATTATCAAGTTTTTCACACAGAAGCTCTATGAATTCATTTAATGGAAGTTTTATTGTTAATAATTCAGTTCTATCTGTCGTTGTCCACTGTTTGAAATCCACTGACTGTTCATTTTCATCACTGTCATATTGCTCTTTTGGATCATCATTTTGTGCGAGATACTGCTGGAAGTAATTTTGGGCATGTTGTATGCCAGGACAACTATTGCATCGGTGAATCATGCAAACTTTAGATTTTCTGCTGCAGACAATATTTTCAATAATTTCATGGTAAGATGGTTCAAGGCCTATAGCACTGAACATTAATTTAACATTTTGGTGTATTGTACACACACAAACAGAATGTGTACCTTTTGGACCAGCAAGGATGCACCATTTAGGTCGAAGACTGCAAAATTTAGAAAATCCAATTTTATGGCCTGGGTACTTTGTCTTATATGCCACATAGAGCTCCTTTAAGTTACACAAAATCAATTTTTTTGACATGTATTTTTTTCCCCCAACATTTACACAGTCTTTTTTACCTGGCATTTGCCTTGAATACTCATCGTCACAGTAAAAAAGCTTTACAAGTTCTATAACATCTTTACCGATTCGATGCCGTTCAACCACATCAGGGTATGCTATGATGCCTTTTTGGTCGCGTAAAAACTTTGCATTTTGAATTTTGTGTTTAGAAACTGTAAACTCTTTTGCTGCTTTTCTGATAGACCAAGATTTTGGGGTTAATGTCAAAATTTGAAGTTGCTTCTCCTGTTAGAAACCTTAAGTTTTTCTTTCATGCATTCTACAAGGAAGTCTAGATCGCCAGCTTTGGTTTGAATTTCCTTTAGAACTTCATTTTTTGGTGCAACAAGATCGGATTCGGTTATATCCAGAGCAGTTGCAAGCTTCTTAATAACTGCTTCTTCAACTTGCTTTATCTTATTCTTTCCAAGTGAAGGCTTGTTAGAGGTTTTGGGTAAAAGAACTTTTAAAGGAGACACTTCAAGTTCGCATAAAGTACTGTTGAGCAACGATCTTGTTGATTCCAGTATAAGATCTTTTTCCATATTATCTTCAGGTAATTTCATCTCTAACTCGTTCTCTTCTGATTCTTCACTTGCTAATTTATGCCTGCATTGTGTACAAAGTTTTTCACCTGGAACTACGAATTTGCCTTTACTGCATAGGTATTTTACTGTATCCAAGTTGATTTCACGAAGACTACCTAAAAAAAGGGAAGAACTCTTTTAATATGTATAAAATTTTTAATAAAACCTTCAAAAGTTTAAAGTTGTATGGCATTTAATTGTGCACTTTCAGAAGTCAGCTAAAAGGTTAAATATAGCTAAAATAGAATTTTGCTGCCAAGAATTTCATTATTGTAATTCAAAACGTTTCTACAAAACTAAAAGTTTTACTATAAATTCATGATTACTTTAAATACCTTTTATAGTTTTGTTATGAGTATTAAATGGATTGCAGCACCGTGTTAATTTAGTTGTATAACGCTTCAAATAAACATGTTTATGATGGAGACAAGTTGTTGGTTTGATATTTATTATTGAGAGTCCAGTCCTCCACATTAATATTTCTCTTTCATATTCAATAATATCTTCATAAGGTTCGATTCCCAGCAACGATGTATATGTTGTAAGATGACATTCACTTTCTAGGTTGATTCCAATAGAGCACTTTTGACTGTTTGCCATGACTAAGAAACTGAATTACCAAACAAGATTTAATAATTATTTAATCTAAAATTAAAATAATTTTTTTTATTGAAATTTGTTATTATTAACTGTTGTTTTAAAACTATATTTAGACACATAACTGACGTCCCAAAACTATATTTACACATCACAGCAGGTGTTGCAAAACTATATTTTTCATGATAATTCACTTCACAAAATTTTATTTCTATATCAAAATCAACCTTAATAAACTGTTTTTACACACCACAATTGAACCCATGAGAGTCAGGCAATTTGTGAAAATGTTACCCCGTTTTTTGGTTAGGTAATATTATACCATTTTAAAATTCAAATATCATTTTTAAATATTAGGAATTGGGTTAATTTCTCTTCGTCTTTGTATTCAACACCTTTAAAAATGGTCAGATACCAATTTGCAGTCATATTTCTCTACTAGAACTTAAATTATTCACACAATAAGTATCGCTATAAAATCTATAATAGAGAATAGATGCCAAATAAAGAAATTTTTTGTCTAAATTTCAAAATGAAATATCTTTTCTATGCTTTAAGAACCCAAAACCATTTTTTTTATAAAGATAGCCTAGGATCACCTACTTCAACTACAGACTTGGGCAACTTCGGGAATTAATGAAAGCACAACCCATGGTTACAAAACAAAAAATTTGACTGGCCATTTTAAAACGAAAAAATTACTATCAAAAAATTTAAATTTCACTATTTTATCTACATTTTTGAATTCAGCACCCTCAAAAATGGTCAGGTACTGATTTTCAGCCACATTTTCCCACTAGATCTTAAATTATTCAATTAAAAGTACTACTACAAAGTTCATAATGGCGGAAGTGGAAAAAAATAGGACGTTTTAGGCTGAATTTCAAAATGTCATAACTTTTGAACGGTTTGGATTTGGAAGCTCAAACTTTACATTTTTTTTTGTTATATTGATAGGTACCACTGGTTCAAATTTGAAAGAAATCTGAGAGGGTGACTGAAAAATTTCAATTTTTTGTCCCACTTTTACATGGAATTACCCTATATATATATTTATATATATATATATATATATATATATATATATATATATATATATATATATATATATATATATATATATATATATATATATATATATATATATACATGTATATATATATATATATATATATACACATATATATATATATATATATATATATATATATATATATATATATATATATATATATATATATATATATATATATATATATATATATATATATATATATATATATATATATATAATGGTCGCTTTATAATTTAAGGCTGCTATTCAGTTTTGTATAATGAAACCTGTGATGGCTGCTTTGATATTAGTGCTAGAAGGAACAGGCAACTATGGTGATGGTGACTTCAGGTTGATTTTTGTTCCTATTTATTTATATTGATTCTCAAAAAGTTGAAGGTTTAGTTTTTTCAATAGCAACCAGTCTGTTTTTTTTGATTTTTTTATTTAAGATCACAGAAGTAACTGAATCATTCACTTCTAAGTTTTTGTTTTTAAAAAGAAAAGAGCATTAGAAAATGTAAAAAAACTTAAATATTAAAAACTAATTTATCAGCAGTTGTTACCTTATTTCGGCGCTTACTTTCAAAAGCAAACTTTACACTTGAATTTGTTTAAATCAACTTTGATGATGCTCCAGTAAAACTTTGTTTAATATTAGGAATTGGGTTTAAAAAAAAAATATCAGGAGAATCAAATTAACTTTTAGTTTTTAATATTTTTGTAATTATCTTGTTTAAAATTAAGTTTTTTGTTAAAAATATATTTGTTGAATTTTTTTTTTTTTTTACAGACAAAAAATTTGACACTAATCTTTATTATATATAGTTTGACCAATAGTAAAGATTGGTTTGACATTAATCTTTGTTATTGTCAAATACAACATGAACATAATGACACCAATTTAGTTCTAAAAAAATTGTTACATCACCTTTTGAAAAATAAAATTTCACACACTTTATAGTTAAATAAAGTTGACAACTAATAGTTGATGCAATAACAGGTTGTCATAAGTGTGTAAGGTCTTAGATCTTAAGCCTCACTATTTTTAATAAATTATCTTTGCATTAGTTTTCATATTAACTAATAACTGTTTTTATATTTTTTAATCCTCTGTAACATTCTACTAAACGTTTTGTTAAAAAAAATTTTAAAAAAGCATGAACTGTCGATAATTTTAGTAGAAAATACTCCTCAAGGTCAAGTTGGAATGTCTTATCTTACTCCTAGTGCTATGCACCATGTACAATAGATGGGGAAAGCACTATACTCTAAATTATTTTGACATCAATTTTATTTAACAAAAAATGAAGAGAAAAATATTCTTCAGTTGTTGATTTTTTCAGTTTTAATTTACATGGAACATTGGTTTCAGGCACTGATTAAGAAATTAAATAATTTCAAAATATTTGACAAAGAAGTGGTTGAATCTGCCATAAGAGCCTGACATGCCATTGCATGACATTTATGGTTTTTAACTAAAGGCTTTTGAGTCTCTATTTTTTTAAGCAACAATGTTGCTTATATAAGAGATAACCAAATTAAAGAGAATGTAAATTGCACTTGCAAAGCTAGCCAAAAAAACCCAGGTTAAAAGGCTTGAAGAATTAATGAAAAAAATAGTAAGCATGAACTTAGATGACTTTGTAACAAATATGATCAAAATATAGTTTAGTTTAGTTAATTCAGTTGTCAAATTTTGCAAAAAATGTTATAAAGTTTAACAGAGCTCAGCACCAGGCCTTGCTATGCTGACAAGTTTAATACATATAGTTCTATTATTTACTAGTGTTCTGATGCTGCAACCGTGACTTGAAAATATTGACACATTTTGAGTTAATGGTGACGCTGGAAAGTGCATTTTATGGTTCACAAACGCAATTTGTAAAAAAGTTAAGTCTTTCTATACAGTTTTTGAATTGTTGCCGTTGTGGCATAAACTTGTGGTTAGATCTTTGGTCATATGACATTAGTTTGGAAAAAGGATAATGTTGTGGTACATAGAAATCTACTTGTTCAAGGTTTTTATCAATTTTAAATTGTTCTATGAGATCCCCTCTTTTCCTTCTCTCTTCTAGCGTTGTCAGTCCCAGAGCTTTTAATCTTTTTTTTTATAAGTATGGTGTCTCGTGGAGTTCATTAATTTTGTTTCACATTGAATTAGCTCTAATTTGTTGAATTGCCTCTAAGGTGTGGTGACCAGGCTTGGATAGTAAACTCTAGTTGAGGTCAAATATATAAAGTGCATAATAATTGCCAGAGGAATACACCACATCCTCTGAATGCTTTTTTTAGTACACCTAATTTGTACACCTAATTTAGTACACCTAATTTAAAAAGTTTGCTTTTGATGCTGCAACAATATGTGTTTTAAGTGCTTGGACATTTATAAAGGAACATTGCCCAGACACATGGAACCGAATACCAGTAAGCACATAAAATTTTTAATTTTATGAAAGTTGTGAATGATACAGCCAAAATGGGGTGAAACTCAATTCAAATTAAACAAAAATCGTACAAAAAAACTTAATTGCAATATATTTTACAAACTGTGGAAGAACATCAATGTCAAATTTCAGATATGTGAAATGTGAACGCATTATTGAAAACAAGTAAACAATCAACAAGTGAAAACAAGTGAGCAATAATAACGTTGATTGAAATTATATAAGACTAAATTTAAATAAATTAATTAAAATTAGGCTGGCATAGATCTACTTATAGTATTATTATAATGTATTTAAAATACATTGTTTCCAGTTTAGAATGTCGAATACTGGATCTTCGCATTGGTTTATGACTAAGCAACTCATTCTATTATCACCTAATGAGGGTACAGCTCTAAAACTCAGTTTTTTGGTTCTGAGGCCAACTGATAGTCAGGTTTCCAAAGCTCTGTGGTAGCTCTCAAAGAGATTGATTCCATCGACAGCTGTAAATATCAGAGTACTACCAGTGCCGTGTTGCGCATGAATGGTGTCTCTTTTTGTACTTTTGTTGTGCATTGTCTAGGCCAAATTTGGAGCTCTTTATTACAGCTTAGGGTTTATTAATAGTAATGAGACAATTGCTTGGACTATTACATAGTGTACTGAGTACTACCTGTGCTTTAAGTCAAGTTCTTTTACAAATTTAAAAATGACTAAAGTACCAAAAACTATAAAACACTAAAAACCATCATCATCACCACGTTCTTTAATTCTATCATTCACTAATATTTGTGATCTTCAAAGTAACTTTTCTTGTTTTGAGTCTTATCTTTTGCAAAGGTCACTAGACCTACTTGCTCTTTGTGAGACTAATTTGAGTTCAGCTGTTTCATCTAGAATTTATGGTTATCTTCCTTTAATTCGTAAAGACTCCACATGCTTGGCTGAGCATTTACATTGATAAGGATTCACCCATTTGTCAGGAAACTAGGTTTAAATCCACAGACTATTCTTTTATGTCCTTTTGTTCTGCACCACTTCACTCTATCACCTTTTTCTTTGTTCTATATCTCTCTCCATCTCAAAACTGCACTCGTTTTGCTGTTTTTGATCAAATTAACCAAGCCCTTTCTCTTTATAATTCAGCCAATATCGTTGTTGTTAGTGACTTAAATGTTTATCACACTGAATGGCTTGGTTCTAGTGTTAGTGAATCTGCAGGTGTTAAGGCCCACAACTTTTGTCTTTCTCAATCTCTAATACAAATAGTATATACAAATAATTTTCCAGCTCGCTTTCCAGGCAATCCAAATTATTTACCTTCTCTACTTGACTTGTGTCTTGTTTCTGATCCTAGTCAGTGCTCAGTTCCTCCACATTCACCTTTAGGTGCTTCTGGTTTGATCTCTCTAAAGCTATATCTCATCATCAGAATCCCTTTATCAGTGTCTTGTTTTTGACCCTGCTGGAAAGCCGCATCTCTTGCCCCTATTTTCAAAATTTTAGAAAGTAATCTGACTCGCTTAACTACCGTTCCATTAGTTTAAGATTCATACTTATTTTGTGATTATCCATATTGATGATCAGAAAGTAAGTTATACAGTCATAAGATATAACTAAAGTCGCTATAACTTATTTTCTGATCATCAATATGGATTTTGATCTTCTCTTTATATTGCTGATTTGTGAGTGGTAATAACTGATAGGTTTTATTGTGCATTTGATAAATGTGGAGAGGCTAAGGCTATCGCTCTTGAAATTACTAAAGTCTTAGATATAATTTGGCGTGCTGGCCTTCTTCATAAGCTCTTTTCTTATGGTGTGTCAGGTAATGTCTTTAAGATTATTGAATCATTCCTTACTAATTGTAATATAAAAGTTGTCTTCGATCTTTGGCACTATACTCTTTTTAATTTACATTAATGATCTCCCTGATATTCTCACATTTAAGGTGGCATTGTTTGCTTATAATACTACCATTTATTCTTGTCTTAGTAAGAAGCCAACAATCTTTGATTGCTTGGAGTGGGCATTTGTGTTTGAAAAGGATTTGACTTCTACTACAGCATGGGGCTCTCAGTAGCTGGTGAACTTTAACTCGCATAAAACATAAAAATGTTTTTTGGCTAATCGTTACAATCGCAACAATCAAGATCTATATTTGTAAACAATAATGTACTCTATGAATCATCTTAAATTTTGTCTTTTGTTTTAGGATTAACTCTTAGTTCTGATCTTTCTTAAAAACCATTTATCAAATTGATTGCAAAATTAGCATCTGCTAAGGTTGCATCTCTGCTTGAAGATGTCAAAAAAAAAAGATTTTTTTTGGTTGCTTGCAGTCTTGACAGAAGTGAAGACGAGAAAAAAAAACTTTTTATTAAAAAAAAATTAAATACATTTTTTATTTTCTTGACCCTTAAATCTAATGATATCAAATTCATTGAGCAACTCCAAGATATAAAAATATCTTCATAATTTTTTGCACAGTTTATTTTTTAGTTGAAAGGAACACAATATAGGGTTGAATGTCTAATTTTGAGTACTTTAATTTTTGTTGTCAATCTAACAATATATATACATACATATACATATACATGTTATCACATTTAATGACAACTAAAAATGGAGAACAAATTTACTCAAATATGTCAAATAGATATTATTGTTAGGTTTTGAAAAAAAAATAACAACAGGTTAATGTGGTATATTTGAATTCAGTTTTTTTTTTGACTACTCTTCTGCAGTGCATATACTAAAACATTTCAATAAAGAAATAGTCTGGAATTATCAGAAAGTGACCCAAGTTTCTATGGATAGGTCTAATACATATTGGAAGTATTGCAAAAAGCTTTTCTCATACAGAAAGAAGTGACAATTGAATTCTTTAGTTGACATTGGAAGTTGTAGTATGTAATACAT